TAACTATTCTTCTTTGACTTGAATCCTTAGCCTAAACGTTAAACAAGCAAGGCGGACCCTGCCAACCACATTCTTACACACAAGCAAATTTCCATTAACTCTAATCAGAGTTTCCAAGAAGAAAATACATCTCTGCTAGAGACATGAACATAATTTCATGTCTAAACTCTAAAGAAATATTGAAGAGATGTTATCAGGGAGAACAACGTGTAGTGCAACGTTTTACGTAAACAAAGCACTGTGGTTGCGATCTCAGGGAAGCATTCCTCTTTTCTTTAAAGTGGCTAAAAATGATTTAAAACCAAAGCATAGTTTTGTAATAGAATGTGCATATTAGCTTGCTTTGTTTTTCCTGCGCAGCGCATACATTATTTGGTCGTGTTCTTTATTGTTTCGGGACTTCTGCCAATTAATAATTAGAAATAAAAAAGAATATTATAAAATAAAAGATTAGCCATCTATTCCACCAAGGTATAGCTAAGTGGTGCAATCAATCATTCCCAGTGACCCTTTCAGTGGCACCCTTCACCAGTCTGATAATTTAACAATCACCCGACAGCCTAATAATTCCTTGCTCAAATGCCCAACATGCTTTCAGCAGTACCTTTTTCATTTCTGTTTCCAGCAGCGTATTATGGATTCTCTTCTGGAAAACTATTGAACGCAATATACCTTCCGACTTTTGGAACCATGTCAGGAATTTTGGAAATGTCTGGATAAGCCATTTTTATTTCCAAAGTCACTCTGAAAAAAATTACTTATCTATCTTTTCTGCTTCTCTCATGGTAATACCCCATAGAGGGATCACAAATCTGAAATGTTGTACATGAAGTCAAATCCTAAGCATGGTTACTTAGAAGAACGTCCTGCCGTGTCTCATTTACTTCTTTGTTGGCCAAAATATACCGCCAGCATTCAGAAAACATTGTGGCAGCAAACAGAACAAACAGTAGCATTACATTCATTTGTAATTTGTGATTAATTTGTGCTTAGGGCGCTTCTCGCCACACCTTGCTTTGTGTTAACGTCTTGCCTGAGAACTTGAGAACTTGCCACATTTTTGTCATTTTAAAAAATTGGTCCTAAAAAAGGCATTACCTATGTGTGGACTTTTATCTATCTTTTATCTATTAAAAAGCTATCTTTGCTTTTTATGCTTAGGATTGTTGCCTCAAACCTGCATGTTTGCTATTGATCCACAAATGTTACAATGGTATTTACCATAATGAACATATAGTGTTGCCTGAAGGATGCCGTGCACAGATGCCAGATACTTGCAGCCAATCATATCCATGCAGACATATATTTCAGATCCTAGATCTTACACTTCATGAAGCTGATGGTATAATAATATAGCAGCTGCAGTAACAAACCTAGACAGCATCTTCAAACCTAGACAGCATCTTCAAAAGTAGAGACATCACCTTGCCAACAAAGGTCCGTATAGGAAAAGCTATGGTTTTCCCAGTAGTGATGTATGGAAGTGAGAGCTGGACCATAAAGAAGGCTAATTGCCGAAGAATTGATGCTTTTGAATTATGGTGCTGGAGGAGACTCTTGAGAGTCCCATGGACTGCAAGAAGTCCCATGGATCAAACCTATCCATTCTTAAGGAAATCAGCCCTGAGTGCTCACTGGAAGGCCAGATCCTGTAGCTGAGGCTCCAATACTTTGGCCACCTCATGAGAAGAGAAGACTCCCTGGAAAAGACCCTGATGTTGGGAAAGATGGAGGGTACAAGGAGAAGGGGACGACAGAGGACGAGATTGTTGGACAGTGTTCTCGAAGCTACCAGCATGAGTTTGACCAAACTGCAGGAGGCAGTGGAAGTGCCTGGCGTGCTCTGGTCCATGGGGTCACGAAGAGTCGGACACGACTAAACGACTAAACAACAACAACAACAAGCTGCAGTAAAAGTGCTTACTATTCAAAGCAGATAATTTCTAAAGCTCCACCTTTGCCAAAACAGCAATCAAATCTAACTTTCTGCACAGTTCTAATGCTGCTGCCTTGGACTCCTTTGGGAGAAAGAGCAGATATACTTTTGATAAATAAATGAATAAATTTGCTCATAGTAGCTTGCTCCTTAGTAAGTCTGGTTAGGGTTAGGGACTACTCAGTTCTCTCTCTGCTCAAGTGATTTTTTTTTAAAAAAAATTTGCACTCTCATGTTCATCCCCATTGAACTATCTTGTCGTGTGAATGATTCCACATGAAATAAGCCATGGGTACAAGAAACTAGAATTTGTCAGACTGGAGCAATTTTTGAAGCTAGAAGGTATGTGTCTGAAATTCCTCAGGTGTGTTTCTAGGAATATCAGCAGATGTACCATCAGAAATAGGGACGCGGGTGGCGCTGTGGGTTAAACCACAGAGCCCAGGGCTTGCCGATCAGAAGGTCGGCAGTTCGAATCCCCACGACGGGGTGAGCTCCCGTTGCTCGGTCCCTGCTTCTGCCAACCTAGCAGTTTGAAAGCACGTCAAAGTGCAAGTAGATAAATAGGCGTCGCTCTGGCGGAAAGGTAAACCGTGTTTCCGTGCGCTCCTCTGGTTCACCAGAAGCGGCTTAGTCATGCTGGCCACATGACCCGGAAGCTCCCTCAGCCAATAAAGCAAGATGAGTGCCGCAACCCCAGAGTCGGTCACGACTGGACCTAATGGTCAGTGGTCCCTTGACCTTTACCATCAGAAATGTGAAGGTGCCTACAGAGTTAGCTTAAAGGGAACGTTTTCTTGGAAACATCACCAAGGTGTGAGAACAAAACTTAAAAACTAAGTAAGTCAACAAACTAATCTTTCAAGGGTGGTCAACAATCCTGACTATTCTGAATGACTATCAGTTTTTTACAGCTGAGTATTTGGTGCCATCGTGTGGCCAATTTAATTTTACATATCTGAGAGAGTGGTTTTAATACAACTCCTGCCACCACACATCACTAACCACTGGCCATGCTGGAAGGAGCGGATGAGAATCTGAGTCCACCAACATCGGGGGGGGGGTACAGGTCCCCCATCTCAGCTGTAAGGCATGAGCTAACAGATGAGGCGATTTCTTAAGAAGAAACCTTATACTGTATATGACTTGCATCCCAAAGCCAGACACATTTCAAAACAATACCTTTTAAATACATTCACAAGATAGCTTTAAGCACATACAATTTCCTTCTCCAAGGAGCGTCAAATCTCCCTCTCTTGAGATATGTCTGTTCTTCATGTTACAAGGTGAAATTGCTAATAATTGCTCTGGGCTACAACCAAAGCATTAGATAAAGAGGTCAGAAGAGAGTACAGCATGCTAGTTTATGTCACTACCTGCTATTTGAATAGAGACTGAAGCAGTGTTGCTACAGCATCTTCCCTTGTGAAACTAGTCTTTCCTGCATCGATTGCACACCAACAATACAATCATTTTAGTGAATGAAAAATACAACTCTTAGTTCATTGCCAGATTCATTCATAACAAGAGCGCAAGTATTCACTTAAAGGTAAAGGTAAAGGGACCCCTGACCATTAGGTCCAGTCGTGGCCGACTCTGGGGTTGCAGCGCTCATCTTGCTTTATTGGCCAAGGGAGCCAGCGTACAGCTCATGTGGCCAGCATGACTAAGCCGCTTCTGGCGAAACCATAGCAGGCATGGAACGGTACCGGAGCGGTACCTATTTATCTACTTGCACTTTGAGGTGCTTTCGAGCTGCTAGGTTAGCAGGAGCAGGGACCGAGCAACGGGAGCTCACCCCGTCACGGCGATTTAAACTGCCGACCTTCTGATCGGCAAGTCCTAGGCTCTGTGGTTTAACCCACAGCACCACCCATGTCCCTATTTGCTTAAGGTGAACTAAATGTTCAGATTTATAATGACGAGGAACTAAAAAACTGAGCAGATTTAACTGTGCAGCTACTTCCGCAGCCACATAAATGGAATGATCGGAATTGCTACAGGAACCATGTTACAGTGGTACCTCGGGATGCGAACGGGATCCGTTCCGGAGCCCCTTTCGCATCCTGAATGGAACGTAAGATGCGGCCGCATGTCTGTGCGTGCACAGGTTGTGTTTTGCTGCTTCTGCGCATGACGTCATTTTGAGCATCTGCGCTTGTGCCAGCAGTGAAACCCGGAAGTAATGCGCTCCGTTACTTCTGGGTTGCCGCGCAGCGCAACCCGATAGCGCTCAACCTGAAGCACATTCAACTCGAGGTATGACTGTACTTATTTCCTTGCTGCTCATCCCCAATCCTCTTTGCTCTCTGTAGGTAACATTTGCTATTGCATCTGCTATTGTCAGTGTTACTGGTTTCATGTCCCTTTGGCATGAGAATCTTGACTCCACATCCACGATCAACCTTGTTGATCCATGATAACCTTGTTATCTGTCAAAGGTAGCCCCACGTAGGGTGCATTGCAGTAGTATAAGTAGGAGATAACCAGAGCATGCACCACTCTGGCGAGAGAGTCTGTGGGCAGGTAGGGTCTCAGTCTGTATACCAGATGGAGCTTCACATCTTTTGGATGCACCCACCCCAAAGGTGGGGTGTCAGGCCCAAAGGTGTAACTCACTATTCCTACTGCATTGTAGTTGTCCCCAACACACTTGCTAAGTGAAAATCTTTGTTAAATCACATATTTAAAGCCTCAGCATTATACACCCAAAGTTTATAGAGCTTAACTCATGTCGACTCTGTGCTTGGGATGGAAACCTTCAGTTCCTGCTGCGAATATCTTTCCCATTTCCAACAACGCAAAAGATTTGTTGCACAAAAAAGTGGACTTTGCTAGATAGATAGAACGCGAGCCCAAGCAGGGGCCGAAGAGGGCCAGCCTTGCTTTCCCTAATATGACGTCCACCCCCCATGCCGCCCCTCCCGTCCAAGTCTGCAGCGCCTTAAGAGCCCGAGCAGGAGGAGGCCACGGCGGTGGGCGCGTGGAACTGGAACGCAGCCGCGCCCGGCGAAATAACGCCCGCCGGGCAACGGACGGCGGCGCCCACCCTCCGACGGCGCGCCGGGAAGAGCGGCCGAACCACGCAGAGTAGCCGCCCCGCGGCCCGGACTGCCTGAACGATGGCGCCCCGCGGCTGCCACACGGACTGCGTGGAGCGGCCCCTGTCGCGCGCGCTCCGCCGCTTCGGCGCCTTGGTGGGCGCGCACCCGTGGCCCTTCCTGCTGGCGCCCGTGGCGCTCACCGTCGGGCTGGGCACGGGCTTCGTGATGCTGCGCAGCCGCGAGGCCAACGACATCGAGGGCCAGTACACGCCCGTCGGGGGCCCCGCCAAGGCGGAGCGTTGCTTTATCCGGACGCACTTCCCGACGGACGACGCGCGGCGCTTCTCCCCGCAGAGGCTGAGCACCGAGGGCTCCTTCGCCTCCTTCATTGCCGTCGCCTCCGCCTCCGGAGGGAGCGACTCGGTGCTCACCAAGGCGGCCTTCACGGAGCTGCTGGAGCTGGACTCGGCGGTGCGGGCCATGACCGCCGGCGAGCGAAACTTCGCGGACCTCTGCGCGCGCTGGAACAACACTTGCCTGAGCCCCAACCCGCTGATCGCCGTCGAGGGCGACGCGGCCGCCATAGAGACGCTGCTGCCCGCGCTCACCTTCCCGCTCTACCAGAGCCACGTGTTCCTGGGCTACTTCCTGGGCGACGTCGTGCTGGGCCCGGGAAATGGCACGGCGCGCCCCGTCCGGGCAGCCCGGGCGATGCGCCTCTTCTACTTCTTCCAGGAGGATGGAGCTTCGCAGCGACAGGCCAGCAAGGTCTGGATCGAGACCTTTCTGGAGCGCATCCCCGTCGTGCTGGGCACTATGAACCTCCATTTCACCCGGGTAAGTGCCGCGCGTGCACGTCTCGGGAGGCGCGCAGCTCTGGGCAGACCGCTTTGCGACGGCTCTGCCTTGTGCTCGGCAGTTGCGTCCTTCGCTTTGATAAAAAGCCGTCGAGGTTCTCAAGCGTGGGTTGGCTTTCCTCGCCCGAAAGGCTCCTAGGGCAATAGAAGGAGGAGGACAGGCCCTGCCCCAGCCTTGCCATCCAAAAGCCGGACGGAAAAGGGATGGGGAGGAAGCTCAGATCTGCGCTGACTCTGTGGCTTATATGTTAGGATGGGGCTAGCTAGCACCTGCAGGATGCAACCCTCCCCTTGCATAACAATATAATAGCGAATTTATATGCATACAGCCAAGGGTGCCAACTTGAATAAAATATTGTGGGGCCCAGGTAAATAGACATCAGAGGGCTCTTCAGGCCTGAGATCAGAGTCCAGCCTTATGATTAAAATGTAGGTAGGTGCCATGACCTATATTCTCTAACCTCAAAAATACACATTTTAAAAATATGCATATCCTTTATTAAAGAATGGCTTGGTGCTCTGAAGGGGAGCAGTGGAAGATGAGCAACCAATGGAAACCTTCCCTCCCTCCATCCCCAGAATGAACAAAGGCAGAGCTTTAAATCAGACCACCCTCAATCTTTTAGATTATATAAAACTGATATGGAAGAGGAATGCTTTTTTTAGGCTGCAGTCCCATGTCCGCTAAACATGGAAGTAAAATGTGATGTACTTCTCAGTGGACACATGTAGGGTTCCTGAAATTAAACAGGCTAGAAAAAACTGGGAGTTTTTTTAATTATCATGCAAAAAGTATTTCCATGGAATGAAGTTGGCACTTTTTGAAGCTTCAAACTAACCGTTGTTGTTGTTTGTTGTTTGTTTGTTTTTACATAATGCAGTGAAGGAAATTACAATATAACCATTCATTTTATGATTTTTCTTAGCCAGCCGTGATACCCTTCAGAATATTAAGCTACATCTTAATAGATCTGTTATGCAATAGTTTGTCTTATTCTTTCTTTCCTCACTTGGCAGGTGACCTATTTTTCCTCAGAATCCAGACAGAAAGAATTTGGAAAAATTACCAAGCGAGTGATCCCATTAGTCTCTGTCACATATTTTTTAACAATATTCTTTTCCATTGTATCATGTGCAAGGTAATCTCCCCGCCTTAATTCTTTGGAGAGGGAGGGGAAATCCCTGGTCCCCCCCCACCCCAATCATGGGTAGATGTGCAATATGCACTAGCTACATGAAGTATTCTAGATGGGTAGATCAGCTTAAAAAATTCCCAATACAGTGGTACCTCAGTTAAGAACTTAATTCGTTCTGGGGGTTCGTTCTTAACCTGAAACTGTTCTTAACCTGAGGTACCACTTTAGCTAATGGGGCCTGCCACTGCCACCGCGCGATTTCTGTTCTCATCCTGAAGCAAAGTTCTTAACCCGAGGTACTATTTCTGGGTTAGCGGAGTCTGTAACCTGAAGCGTATGTAACCCGAGGTACCACTGTATTGAAAGCTAATTGGTAAAGTGTCACTCAGCAAATGAAGTGAAAGTCTCATGAAAAACACTGCAGCAAAATGGAGGCAGAGATCTGGCCCAAAGGTAGGCCTACTATGTAGAGTGAAGCCCACTAGTAGACGGAAGAGGCAATGTTCTCAATAGCTAGAGTGTCTTGTTCACTCTCTGTCAGTTTCAATTTCTCAAAGTTACTGTTTCTATTAATTCCCCCCCCAAACATAATATTTTCTTGATTTAGTATGTATTTTTGTGTTCTTATATTGTGAACCGCCCTGTGATCATTGGGTTGAAGGGCGGTATATAAGTTTAATAAAAGATAATAATAAAAAGTGCAATAATAACAAAAATAAAACAAATTAAAAATGTAAACTATGAAACATTACAGCCCGTAAAAACCAAGGACAAAGGTAAAGCACAGTTCCAAAGAGATAATAAAGTGTTAACCCATACAAATGTTTCCTTTACAAATCATAAAGATATGTTTTTTTAAAATGCAAGTATTCACCATCTGTGAACTCCATCATTATTAAACCCTAGAGTATTATACATGCAACTGCTGTGTGGCACTGTCATTTTGTTCAAGGAAGCTGCAAACTGGCACATTACCATGGAACTCTGAACCTAAACATATTCTTATCTGCTTTACAGGATGGATTGTGTACGGACAAAAATTTGGATTGCAATTTTTGGGGTGATGTCAGCAGGATTATCTGTTGTCAGCAGCTTTGGATTACTGCTGTTTTGTGGGGTGCCATTTGTTATCACAGCCGCAAATTCACCCTTTCTCATACTTGGTAAGTGTATACATTCCTCATGCCTTCTTATCCATTGAGCTTTTGATGGGTGTGCCTAAAGTAGGTATTGGGCATTAATCCCATATAAAACTGTGATTGCTCGGAGAATTTAATGCTAATTCTTGTTTTTTTATTTGAAGTTGCACACGCAGAAAAGTTTTATATCACATGTGTTACAGGGGGCGGGGCCAGATGACTCTTCCAATCTCTTCCAACACTATAATTCTATGATGCTATCAATGGGCATATGCACACATTTTTCATCACACGCCTTCAAAACATTTATTAGCAAAGGGCAGATCTGGTCTTGATTGCTCCTCCTACATGAGGGGAATGTAGCCAAAATGAAAACTTGTGTGGAAGAAGGAAAGCTTGCTTTGTGTGCAGTGTGTTTACGCAAGCCAATGCTTTTCTATCCCTGCTGTTATAAATTCCTGAACATTCTTAAAGAAAAGTAGGTTTCCGATTTGTAAATACAGCCGTACCTTGGTTCTCAAACGGAATTCATTCCAAAACCAAGGTGCAGCTTCCAATTGGCTGCAGGAGCTTCCTGCAGCCAATCGGAAGCCACGTCGGACATTCAGGTTCCAAAGAACGTTCACAAACCAGAACACTCACTTCTGTGGTGAAATACGATATTGGGGCCCCGCTAATTGATTTATTGGTCCTCAATTAGCTATTTATGGCAGCCCGGTCCGGCGCGCTTCCCTCAGCTGCGCCACTCAGCTCCGTCGTCCGGTAGCTCCAGTCACACCTTAGCAGAGATAAACACAGCGGTGATAAACTGTCACGTCCTTTTCCCAGCTTCCAGACAAACACACAGAGAGTCCAGGTTTGTCCTTTTCAGCTCTTTATTCCGACATTCCCCCAGGAATCTCCTGGGCTCCTTTCAGCCATTACCGGCTACGTCTTTCTCCCTCAACGACCAGAGGGGAACAGAACAGAAACCACTCCCAGGCTCCTCCCAGCTTCCACAGCTGACGTCAGAATGCTGAGGCACCATGGGAACAACTTAACCAGTTAAGTTCCAACTCCCAACACCCCCTCTGCATCACATTCTGACAAGACCCCTTTGAGTTCAACACCTTTACCTTTGCCTTGTGCCCCTTCCCGGCATCTTTCCCAGGCACCTGTTGAACCCCTTCAGCATTCCCAGAATCACACTGTGTGACACTTTTCCACGCACCTGTGACCTGATACCCTACTGACCCATTAGGGCCAGCAGTTGTGTCTTCTCCGTCAGACTCTTCCCCCTCTGACTTGACAACCCTTGGAGATGCCCAAACCTGCCCTGAACCCTGACCCTGGACTTGGTCCCCATCACCGGGTTTTGAACCCTGATTCTGGACCTGATCCCCGTCACCGGGCTCAGCAACAGCCTCCCTTCTCCCTTGAGAAGACTTTGCACCCGTCACCTAGTGACGTATTCCCTTTTCCTTGAAAAATTCCTCCAGAGCAGACCCAGTAAACTGTGACCCTCGGTCGCTCTTGAACCCTTGCACCCTGGTGGAGAACCTTAGTTCCACCTCCGCAACCCAATCCTGGATCAGTTGCACCGCCTCTCCCTGTGGTTTGAGAGAGAGACACCAGCCAACCTGGCTGTGGTCATCTGTCAGCGATAGCACATACCTGGCCCCACCCAGACTCTCAGACCTCTTGGGTCCTGACAGATCTGTGTGAACAAGCTCAAAAGCTTCCTTGGCTACCCTCCCAAACCCGGGAAAACCAAGTACCTTTGCACCTTTGCATGCCCTGCACCCTTGGGACCTCCCACATTTCCGGAGTTTGTACCCTTTTGTGCACCTGTGCAACTTTTGCACATCACTGGGAACCTTAGCACACTGCACCTGTGCTTTTTCCAGCATTCCCACCACCCTCCAGAGGTGACTCCAGAACAAAGAAATTGTTCTTGCTCTTCGCCATGTTGACCAGTTGTCGCCCCCCTCTGAAAATGGAACAGGTGTCATTTTCAAAGCACATTTTGGAACCCCTGCTTCGTTAGAGCAGATACAGATAACCGACAACAATTCAGTCCCGGCACACCACAGACTGCTTTTTGTGCTCCGTCTGTGAATAAAACAATTGTTCCTGTTGAAAACAGCCCTGCAGTTCCGCAGTTTGCCTATCAGGTGCTGCCTGATAGCAGAAACCAAAACACCCAGCGTGTCACCGTGTCCTGGCTGGAGTTGTTCTTCACAGTTGCCATAGAAGCAGTGATAAGAAACAACCCTCCCCAGTGTCTGAGACACGTCTTTCCCTTGCGTTCCCACGCTGGCGTCCTTGGGACCTTCCTGCCCAGCTGTCTCCGCTCTCCATGGGCAGCAGCGTCGCAAGCGTCCCGCATTACACGTGTAGCAATGACGAACTCCAGTGGAAAAACACTGCTCCGGGGCTCCTCCCAGCTGGCCTCCTTCTCCTTCTTCCGGAAAAGCACTCCTTGCCAGCTCCGCCCCCTCTGAACCTCCACTTGATTCCAGCACGTACAGTGGAAAACTTTAAACGTGCCTTTGGAAACCTTCCGCCCCCCCGACCTGCTCAGCAGCACTCCTTGTGGCTAAAGCATCAGGGACAGGGGCTCCAGCCATCTCTAGGCTTTTGTATTCCTTCTCCAGGGCTCTGGCCTTTTGCTGAAGCTTCACAGCAAACACAGCACGTTTCCAAGCAGCCCTTTTAGACTCTGCAAACCTGGCAGCAACGGCAGCAGTACCAATAGTCCCTTTGCCCCCCTCTGGGGCCCACAGCCTTTCCCAGCTGTGCACTGGCTCTCACGAAGGTGATCAGCGCCATCTTGCTTTCTGTTCTGAAGCAGCCATCTCCCAGCCCTTGCTTCCGCCTCCAGCCTCATAAACACCCTGGAGCGCTGAACGGCCTCTGGCTTCCTGGCACCCAGAACAGTAGACTTCAGATCAGCAGCCAGGTTGCCCAACTTCTTAAAGTGAGCCTCCCACAGTCCTCCAAGACCTGGCAGCCTGCCATTCTCTTCCGTTCTCCCAAGGGGCCCCAAGCTGTACTTACAGACCAGTTTCAGCTCCTCTGGCTTCCCTTCCGTGGAGAAACGATTTTCCAGCTGCTCTCTTAGCTCCTTGGCTCCACAGCAGACCTCTGCGTTTTTCAGCCAGCTGCTTTCAAACTCCGCAGCTGCTCCTTTGCCTCTTAACACCAGGCAAAAAGTCCTTCCGCCTCCTGCCGGCCCCCTGCTCGACACCGCAGATCAAAGCTCCCGGCAGTATCTTCCGTGACAGTTTTACAAGCGATGATTTATGGATCCATAACCTGTGGTGAAATACGATATTGGGGCCCCGCTAATTGATTTATTGGTCCTCAATTAGCTATTTATGGCAGCCCGGTCCGGCGCGCTTCCCTCAGCTGCGCCACTCAGCTCCGTCGTCCGGTAGCTCCAGTCACACCTTAGCAGAGATAAACACAGCGGTGATAAACTGTCACGTCCTTTTCCCAGCTTCCAGACAAACACACAGAGAGTCCAGGTTTGTCCTTTTCAGCTCTTTATTCCGACATTCCCCCAGGAATCTCCTGGGCTCCTTTCAGCCATTACCGGCTACGTCTTTCTCCCTCAACGACCAGAGGGGAACAGAACAGAAACCACTCCCAGGCTCCTCCCAGCTTCCACAGCTGACGTCAGAATGCTGAGGCACCATGGGAACAACTTAACCAGTTAAGTTCCAACTCCCAACAACTTCTGGGTTTGCGGCATTCGGGAGCCAAAACGTTTGAGTCGCAAGGCATTCGAGAACCAAGGTACCACTGTCAATAAACAACTAGGTGTGTTTCCCTAGTAAATATCCATGTTGTTCTCCTCCTATGGCATGTTTGGAACTGGTATGTTACATATTTTTCTATTCTTCAGGGGTTGGTGTTGATGACATGTTCATCCTGGTGTCCTGCTGGCAGCAGACGAAAGTGAAGAAGGGAGTCATAGAACGGATGGCTGACACCTATGCAAAGGCAGCTGTCTCCGTTACCATCACAACACTTACTGACGTTTTAGCCTTCTACATTGGAGTTGAAAGTTCCCTTGTGTCTATTCAGTCATTTTGTTTGTACACAGGCACAGCCTTTGTGTTCTGCTATATCTACAACCTGACTTTCCTTGGGGCAGTTCTTGCTCTTAATGGCCGAAGGGAAGAGAGCAACAAGCATTGGCTCACGTTCAAGAAAGTGATGGATAAGCCTCAGGATTCGAAGAGCCCTATGTATAACAGGTGCTGTATAGGAGGGGCTTTCGATGAGTCCACTGGAACAGAGACTGAACATCCCATGTATGGCTTCTTTAAAAATCACTATGCCCCCTTCCTGGTGCACACCAGGACCAAGTTGTCTGTGGTAGTCCTGTATCTGGCATACCTGGTTAGTAGTGTTTACGGGTGCAGTCAACTTAAAGAAGGTATAAATGTTCGACACCTAGCTGTAGATCGTTCTTATGTCGTTGCGTATTACGACTCAGAAGAAAAACATTTTACTGAGTATGGCCCAAGGCTCATGGTTGCTGTTACAGAAAGCATACCATATTGGAATTCATCTGTCCGTGCAGGTCTTGAGAACTGCATGCAGTTGTTTGAAGAGTCCTCCTATGTGGATAAGAGATTATCGGAGTCATGGCTGAGAACTTATGAAATGGTTGCAAAAGGCGCAGCTTTCAATTTAGATGACCGTACGTCATTTATGACTAACTTAAAGACTCTTTTCCAAGCAAATCCAGAGTACGAGTTGGATGTTAATATTAGTGCTACTGAAATAGTTGCATCACGGTTTTTCATACAAACCGTCAATGTTACTACTGCAGTACATGAGAAAAATCTTTTAAACCAAATGAGACAACTTGCTGAGGACTGTGAGACGCCACTATTGGTTTATCATCCAGCTTTTATATATTTTGATCAATTTGCTGTAATAATGGAATACACCATTCAAAATGTTTTGATTGCTGCTGGTGCCATGTTAGTAACTTCCTTGCTGCTCATCCCCAATCCTCTCTGCTCTCTGTGGGTAACATTTACTATTGTATCTGTTTTTGTCGGTGTTACTGGTTTCATGGCCCTCTGGAATGTGAATCTTGACTCCATATCTATGATCAACCTTGTCATCTGCATAGGGTTTTCAGTAGACTTCTCTGCTCATATTTCGTATGCCTTTGTTTCCAGTGAGAAACCCAAAGTGAACGACAAGGCAGTGGAAGCTCTCTACCGCCTTGGTTTCCCTATCCTACAGGCCGCTGTTTCCACCATTGTGGGCATCCTTGTGCTGCCCATGTCATCCACTTACGTCTTTAGAACCTTTTTTAAGATAATGTTTCTAGTTATTTTTTTCGGGTCTCTTCACGGTCTCGTTTTTATTCCTGTATTTTTAACATTCTTTGGGTTTTGTGGTGAAGTTTCAAACAAAGAGGACCAAAACGATAGCAAGGGCGTTGAAAATTCACCCAATGTTTAAGGAAAACATTGTCCATATGGAAACAAGATTGAGGAACTAGAAGGAAATGTTATGGGGAAACTGAGGTTTTAGAATGAAAAATGGAACTAGTGATTGTGAACATGGAAGGAAAAACCATAATCAATCTATATTGCCTGTAAATAGCTTGGTAAATCGTAGGAATATGTTCAGTTGTTCCTTATGTTCCGTAGCTATCTAATCTTCCTATTTATGTTATGTAAATACACCCCTTGGCGTAAAATTTTCACTTGAAAGGTGTTGTGGTTTGTTACAAGACTCCAAAACGATACATGTTTATTTGGCAAAGCATATTTCAGTCATTTGCTGATAGTATGGTACACCCAAAATAAATTAATGTGGGATAGAGACTGCTCAGGTGACTGTTTGAACTCATTCTGTAACAACATGCTGTGGCGATTGCCTTTTAATCTTAGCAGAAACTCCTGGCTTCTTGTCCTAGCTGTGCCTCAGGCAACGGCAAAATGAAACGAAACGATATAATATATGTATAAGGGGATGCGGTATGGAAAGGAGAGAGCACTGTCTGCATTGATGGTGGTGGTATGAATGCTTCTAAGAGGCAAATCAAGAAATCCCTTTTCAACTGGAGGTAGTTGTATTCTGAGATTCTCATGGTCCAGAATTCCTTCCCATCAGTAGAAGACCCAGGACACTCAATGTGAAGTTTGGCAGCAGGGAAATTTCAACAGCACAGAATCTGGATTCTCTTCTTCGTGAGAAGGGAATTTCCATGTTAAGACAGGGCAGTGTGAAACTTCAATATTACAGTACTGTATTCATTTTTGCAGGGATGCGGGTGGCGCTGTGGTCTAAACCACAGAGCCTAGGGCATGCCCATCAGAAGGTTGGTGGTTCGAATCCCCGCGATGGGGTGAGCTCCCGTTGTTCAGTCCCAGCTCCTGCCCACCTAGCAGTTTGAAAGCATGTCAAAGTGCAAGTAGATAAATAGGTACTGCTCCGGTGGGAAGGTAAATGGTGTTTCTGTGCGCTGCTCTGGTTCGCCAGAAGCAGCTTCATCGTGCTGGCCACATGACCCGGAAGCTGTCTGCAGACAAACACCAGCTCCCTCAGCCAGTAAAGTGAGATGAGCGCCGCAACCCCAGAGTTGTCCGCGACTGGACCTAAGGGTCAGGGGTACCTTTACCTTTACTTTTATTCATTGTTGCAGTATACAATGTAAATAGGCAGTAGAAAAGCTTCCTTTCTGGACGACATTCTGAGTGGGGGAGCACAAACCAGTGGTGGGCAGGGCCGGGGCAAAATGGATGGAAGGCAGAAAGTAAATTTTACCTCAGGACAATAGGCTAATTTCTGCACATACACAACACTCTCTTATATTCCTCCGAAGAATTCTGCTCTGAGCGGACACAGATACAGAAATTCCCTCCAGTCAGGTGTTAACTCAGGTTCAGGAATGGTGAACACAAACCAAATTTGTTCACATAATTTATTTACCCTTTTAAATCCACAGATTATGCATAACTGATGTGAGCCGCAAGAGGAAGAGGCTACTGTTGCACTGAGGTCTTTCTTGCAATACTTTTTATTACTAATTTCACATAATCAGACCAATGGTCATATATATATATATATAATTTTTCAGTTTTTAACAGTGTTCTTATACATTTAAAACATTTTCAATTTTTTCACACCTGAGATTTCTTGAATCCCCAGACTTCCCCCCACCTCACCCCCTGCTTTCCAATATTTATCTATTTTTCTGTTGCATCTTATTACATTTTTCAAACTCATTTTAAATCCTTTTCTTAAATTTAGTCTTATTATAAGTGTTATAATAATCTTGCTAAAGTTTTAAAATATCTACAATGATCTTTGTGTTGTTTAGTCGTTTAGTTATGTCCGACTCTTCGTGACCGGACAATGATCTTTAAGGTACTCTAAAAAAAAATTCCCACTCTTTGCTGAATTTCTTGTCATCTTAGTGTCTGATCTTCATGGTCATTTTTGCCATTTTGGTATAGTCCATCATAATGGTTTCCCTTTGGTTGGGACCTTCTCTTCCTTCCATTTCTGGGCAAAAAGCATTCTTGCAGCTGTCGTCACATACATAAACAATCTTTTAAAGTCCTTTGTTATTTCTCCTATTATTCACAATAAAAGATTCTCAGGGGGTTTTTTTTGGCAGAGTTTGTCTCAAACATTTTCCCCCCCAGTTCATTATTTATTATTTCCCAGAATTCTTTTGCCAATCTGCATGCCGACCACATGTGGTAGAACGTGCCTTCTTTTTCCTTACACTTCCAGCATAAATTGGAAGTGTTTTTATACATTTTTGCTAATCATATAGGAGTCAAATACCAACGGTACATCATTTTCATATAGTTCTCTTTCAGCGCACAACAAGCCGTAAATTTTAAACCCTCTTTCTGCAACTTTCCCCACAAGTTAAGTTGTATATTATATCCAATATATTCTGCCCAGTGTATCAAATCAGACCAATGGTCAAGTAAGTCCTTCTCTAAACTGGTGTGTTTTACTTACATCTGCAGTACTTTTCCTTTTAATTTTTTGTCGTTCCAGGACAGACACCCTCCCAAAAGCGGAGGCATGTTATTGGCCCAAAGGTGTAAACACACTGTTCCTATTTCACTGTGGTTGTCACCAACACACCTGCTAAGAGTACCGTAAATCTTCTTTATTAAACCACATCTTTAACCCCTCAGCACTTTACATCCCAAGCTTTATACCGCTTAACTCACAAGTCGACTCGCATCGTGCACATAACTGTGCTTGGGGGATGGAAACATTCATTGCTGGTATCGCCTCTGCGAATATCTTCACCATTTCCAACAGATTTGTTTGGCCAAAGGGCATTCCCCAGTGCCAGATTTACGTATAAGCTAAACAACCTATAGCTTTGGGACCCTCTCTCTTGGAGGCCCCCAGAAAATTTAAAGGGGAAAAACCTGTACATTTCCAAAATATAAGATAAAAAACAAAATAAAACCTATATACAGCAACAGTGTTTTGTTTTGTGTTGTGTAGGCTCCTATGATGCAAGTACGGTGGTACCTCTGGTTGCGAACAGGATCCGTTCCGGAGCCCCGTTCGCAACATGAGCAAAACGCAAACTGCAGCAGCACGTGCGGGTTGCGATTCGCTGCTTCTGTGCATGATGTCATTTTGCGCGTCTGCGCATGCGGCGAAACCTGGAAGTAACCCTTTCGGGTACTTCCGGGTCACCACGGGACGCAACCTGAAAAAACATATCATGAAGCAAACGTAACACGAGGTATGACTGTAATGGGCCCTGCCTGCTAGCCCGCTCTGTAAAATATCACTGGTTTGCTCATTTCTATATATAGGGTGCCTACGTTCTGCATGGACTGGTTGCATAGCAACATGTGCAAATGGCTTTAGATACCTATTAGGTCCATAAATTACCATATAGCATATATTCAACATGAGGGACGCGGGTGGCGCTGTGGGTTAAACCACAGAGCCTAGGACTTGCCGATCAGAAGGTCGGCGGTTCGAATCCCCGCAACGGGGTGAGCTCCCGTTGCTTGGTCCCTGCTCCTGCCAACCTAGAAGTTCAAAAGCACGTCGAAGTGCAAGTAGATAAATAGGTACCTTCCGACGGGAAGGTAAACGGTGTTTCCGTGCGCTGCTCTGGTTCGCCAGAAGCGGCTTAGTCCTGCTGGCCACATGACCCGGAAGCTGTACGCCGGCTCCCTTGGCCAATAAAGCGAGATGAGCGCCGCAACCCCAGAGTCGGCCATGACTGGACCTAATGGTCAGGGGTCCCTTTACCTTTATATATTCAACACAAAAACCAGCGGCAATTTGTTGTTGTCAAAGGACTGCTGGACATAGAAAGGGCCCCATCACCTTCTAGCTTAGGGCCTCATCAAACCTAAATCCAGCCTGGCATTCCCAGATGGAACGCGCGTCCGAGCATTGGCAGCCCCGCTTCCCTCTGATATGACGCCCGCCGGGCCTTGCGCGTCCGAGCAGCAGGGCCACGGCGGTGGGCGCTTGGAACGCAGCGACGTCAGGAGAAATAACGCCCGCCCGGCAACGGACGGCGACGCCCCCCTCTGCGACGGGAAGACCGGCGCCCACCGCGCAGAGCAGCCGGCCCCGACGCCGCAAGCGGCTGTCTCGGCGGGGAAAGAAGCAGGCAGGCGATGGCGGCCCGGGGACTGCGCCGCTTGCACACGGACTGCGTGGAGAGGCCCCTGTCGCGCATGCTGCGGGACTTGGGCGGCTTGGTGGGCGCGCACCCGTGGCCCTTCCTGCTCGTGCCCTTGGCGCTGACGGGCGGGCTGGGCGCCGGCTTTAAGTACCTGCCCCGCAACGACCTGGGCGACCTCGAAGGCATGTACACGCCCATCGGAGGCCCCGCCAAGGCGGAGCGCCGTTTCGTCCTGGCGCACTTCCCGACGGACGACGCCGCGCGCTTCTCCCCGCAGAGGCTGAGCACCGAGGGCTCCTTCGCCTCCTTCATCGCCGTGGCCGACGGGGACTCGCTCCTCACCCGGGAGGCCTTCGCCGAGCTGCTGGCCCTGGACGCCGCTTTCCGGAGGATCGCCATCGGCGGCGTCTCCTTCGACAGGCTTTGCGCGCGCAGAGGGAACGCCACGTGCAGCAGCCCCAACCCGCTGCTCAGCGCCGTGCAAGGCGACCCGGGCAGGATCGAGGCGCTGCTGCCCACCCTGACTTTCCCCATCGCCGAAGGCGGCGTTTTCCTCGGCCCCTTCCTGGGTGGGGAGAAGCTGCTTCCCGGAGTCGGCCCGGCGCGCCACTTGCGCGCGGCCAAAGCGATGCGCCTCATCTATTTCTTGCAGAATGACGTGTTTTCGAGGCGCGAGGCCAGCAAGATCTGGCTGAAGGCCTTTCTGAAGCGCATCCCCGGCGTGCTGGACTCCTTAAACTTCAAATTCATCCGGGTAAGTGGCTTTCTTCGAGCCGCTCCTAAATTGACACTTGTAGGAGGGTCCTCTGAAATGAAACTCGTCTAGGGGAAAACTGGGCAAGTGAATTTATTATTATTATTATTTTAGATCGCCATGCAACACTCTTTAATTTGGAATTAAGTTGCCATGTTTTGGAGCTCATCAGTAATCACACTAAAAAAAAATACTATGAAGGAACGAGCAATAATAATAACTATTCATTTTATGATTATTCTTAGCCTGTCTTCTTAGCCCTTGAGAACATTAAGCTATAAATTAAGAGACAGATTATTTAACACTCTATGTTCTTCCTTCTTTCCCC